AACCCCGCTCAAGCGGCGTGTAGGGCCACGGCCTGGGGGGCAGAGAGGGAGAGAGCAGCTGTGGCACGTCACATGGCAGGGAAAGCACCACAGCCCGCTCCCGGGTCTTTGGTGCTGGTGATGGCCGGTGGGGAGGAGAACCGGGCTCCTCACCAACGTGAGAGCCTGCACAAAGCAAACACACCATCATATCACCACTCACCCTTCGCTGTGTCCCCAGTCGCTGCGCACACACAAGTGGCGATGGACGGGGTCTGGGGCATAGCCTTCGTGGCAGCTGCACTCTCCTGAAAGAGAGGACGGGAAAATGAGAGTTCTTTGTCCCAGAGGCACGTCAGGAACCATGGCGTTTGGTCCTCCTCCCCTGGTGCCCATCTCTACTAGTTCACAGCCATTCTTGGTCCCTGCCATGGATCTGGAGCACTTTGGACTCTTCTGAAACCTCCAGGAGATGCAGAGGAGGAGATGAGGAGACGTGGAAAGCTTGCAAGAAACCCGTAGCTCTTCTGGAGCATGATGTAACACCTGCAGTAGCTGGGGATGGGATTTCAGGATGCAAAAGGTCTGTTCCTGTGCAGCCCTGCAGCTCCCCTGGCTCAGCAAACCTCTGCCCGATGGCCTCCAAGAACCACTCACACTCCCCACACAGACGTGTCCCCATGGATCCGGCCCCTGCCCATGTCCTGCTGAGCCCTGCCCGCTCCCCTGGCCGCGGGGCTGCTCTGGAGCCAGCGGGTCACTCCTCAGCAGGGATCGGGACCTTGCTCGAGGAGAGCCAGTGTCCACCTCCATGCACCTCCCGAGTGAGGAGATGCTCCTCACCCATCCTGGCCATGTCCCCTTCCCACCTCTGCTCCTGCCACCTCGCACGGCGATGGGATGAGCCTCCTGCAGCCCAAACTCCCACAGGAGGACACAAAAGCCCCCGACCTCCATCCTCTGCAGGCAGTGCCCATGTCGTGCTCCCGTCCCGCGGCTAAGGGGCTCTCGGCCCCGCTCCCCTTCGCTCTCTGGGTGCTGCCTCACCCTGTTACACCCTTTTAACAGCAGAAGACGTTTCCCACACCAGAAACCTGACCACGCTTGCCCCAAATTGATTCTGTGTTTGGTAGAAGTACATAACCCGGAGCAAAAAGCAGCAAAACCAAAAGATTAATTGGATTTGCACGTGGAGTTTCTGTTACAAGCTCCTGCCGATGGATTTTCTTTCCCCCCCCCCCTCTCCTCTCCCCATCGTGCCTACCGCCACGGCAGGCTGAGCTGTAAACACCGGCAGAGGGGGGGACCCGGGAGGGTGCTGGGGGGGGGGGGGGAC